TATGATGTACTGTAGGCCTCGGACACTGTGTGGTGCCATGCACGTAACACATCCTAAACATGATTTTACCCCATCTCTCAGAAGAAGTCCAAGCATGCATGGTCAAGTTGGTTGCATGAACTCTCAGTATTTTAATATTAAAGAAAAACTACTGTTTTCAACAACATTTGCCCATATACACTTCACCATGCAGGACTTGGTGTGTTGAATGCACACAGGTGCCACCTTGCTGGTGTGATGAGAGCGTTCTGATCCCCGAATTCAGACGTGTGGTGAGGATGTAGCTCAGGGTCAAAGTGCTTGCTTAGCATGTGAGTCCCATGGCCTGCAGTCAGCCCCTACCTTACCCCTCTGAGCGGTATGAGCTCACTAAACGCTCAGTCCTTAGTCATGAGGAACTCCGGTGTCTTCATCTGTAAAATGCATAATGACAGTGCCTTCCTTGCCGAATTGCTGAGAGAATTAAATTAGATAATCCCCCTGAAATGTAGACCATACTGTCTGGCGCTTAGTCAGTTCTAGCCACAGCCATTAGTCATTGCAGTGAGGTGGTTTCCAGACTTAACATGGCCACAAAGAACACATACTCCAGAATTTTTACATGTCAGTTTTAGGATATTTTGTTAGCTTTTAAAACTATTTATACCTGCTATATCATGCCAAATTTTGATCGTAAAAAGTAGGTTCTTTTCCCAGTTATGTAGAGGTGAAATGGCCAAATCTCGAGAGTTCCATCGCTCCTCATTTCATAGTGACTAGGCTGCTTTCAGCTAGAACAAAATATCTTTCCATGACTTTATTTTTATTACATGGTGCAAGATGCACATATCCCAAGATGAATTCAGAAAGCCTCTTCTTAAATCTCTAGAAGTGAAATCAGAACTAACTACCAGGTAGAAAAACTACAAAGTTAAAATGGGTGTGTGGCATCTTCCAGAGGATGATTCTAAAACAGGCTATGAAAATGATAAGGTGCCCTATGTACCGATTTACTACCTAGGATCTTTCCCAGATTACACTGCAGAAGCCTTGTAGATTTATAGCTTCATACACTGTGTCCTGAACACTGAAGGCAAACCACACTGAAGGGACTCAATTTCAACCACAGAGAAATTGTAACAAGCCCCAGACCACCAAACCAAGTAAGTAGTAGATCCGGGAATAGAACTGAGAAAGCCCTGAGGCCTCCTCACAGACCACAGGCTTCTTCTTCTGAACATAATGATAGAGAATCTGCTGCTGTTAGCCCCCCGGACTATGACGCACCACAGGAGCAAGCCGTATGAGGGCATTGCCCAACAACACAGTTCTTGGTTTCCGTAGGCTCCTTAGAAACCAGAGAATTACAAAGTAGCCATCACAAACATTGCAGGATGCTGACTGATACTTGTGTTTCGGGTACTTAGTTGCTACCACAAAGTTTACTTCCCTGCTGCCATTTTCAAAAGTGACAATTCATAACTGTGGAAATGTTTCTTTTTAGTTCTTTATAACATTTTCATCATTTTATGAAGAGCTTTCTTGGGATATGAAAAATGGCACCAGATGCATGAGGACAGTTGTTTTGTTCATGGCTTGTTCCCACTCTCCCAGTTTCCCCCAGCCCTTTTTTTTCTGTCTGCCCTCAGTACTTTCTACAGCACCAAAACAGTTCTCAATATGAAGATGTAATCTTTTGCCTCACTTTCTCAGGCCGGAAGTGCTTCTGTCATAACCATGTCATCTGAGAAAATTTGTATTTATTTACATTTCACCATTTTATTAAGTTGTAAAAGAGGTTTTATGACTTGGATTATTTTCTTTGTGAAGGCCATTCTTTGAAGTTCCTGCAGTAGCTTTATCTAAGCTGTCTTGATTTAGCTTCAGTCCGGAAGAGTAGTTTTCAACCTGTACTGTATAGGATGGCGGTGATTTTCTCTTAGTCATGGAGGATATTATCTCACATTTCATAGTTACTTTTGTTACCATTAGATATTTTTGGAAGTCTCTGTTATAGAGGACTTATTACTGATCATTGAACTGAATACATATTTATCATTTCAAACAACCCCCATAACAAATCTATGAAAGATCGTATTCATATCTTTCTTGATAGGAAAACACAGGCAGAAAAATGAAGATACATAGTATGCAAGGATGCCAGAGTTCAGCGTGGGAGCTCTGACTCCGAGCCCATGGTCCAGAACCACTGCAGCAGCCAAATTAAAAAAAGAACAAAGGGGTAACTAGTCATATTCAATATTAAAGGTATTTGAGAACAATATAGGGCCAGTGAGGTAGCATTTTTTATGGATACACACTGTTGCAGACTAAGGGTACTCTCAGGTGTCATTGTTATGCTTTGTCATCATGTGTCCCTGTGTTCTTATCTGTAAGATGGGAATAACAGTGACAGCCGTGCTGTAGTTGTGAAGAGTAACTGTGGCAAGATACTTTCTGTCATTAGCAGTAGTGGAGAGAAGCCAAGAAGCAGAAGCCAGCTCACCTCTGTATCAGGCATGGTTTAGGAGGTGAAGGGAGAGGATGGAGTAGGAAACGGTGCTAGTGTAACTGAGGAAATGGTGTAGAAAATAGATACTTTCATCATTAAAAATGTATGGCCTAATAGTCAAAGGTAATAACAGAGCTTGAAGTTAATCATTTCCTAAATCCATGATGGTATTAGAAGGAAGTTTGGGTTATAAATTGATGCACATGCAGGGGATGCCATAGGCATGCTCTCCAGAGGTGAGTCCATATGTAAAAGCATCAAGTACTCCAATTCCATAAAAACCTGAAATTTCTGTAGCAAAATCAACAGAATCACTATTTTAGTTTCATTTCTGTTGCTGAAATTAAAAAATACTCTTGACCAAAAATCAACCTGGGAGGAAAGGGTTCCTTTGGCTGACAGTTCCAGACCAAACTTCAACCTGGGAGGAAAGGGTTCCTTTGGCTGACAGTTCCAGACCAAAAATCAACCTGGGAGGAAAGGATTCCTTTGGCTGACAGTTCCAGACCTCAGTCCATTATGGAGAGGAGTCAAGGTAGGAATTCCAGGCAGGCCCACCCGCTGCTCCACACAGCATTGTCTCTGACCAAGGCACTGTTTCCCAGCCAGAGAGGTACAGACGGCAGCACTGAGGTTGCTGGTTGCTGGCGCACAGAGCAGTTCACACGCAACCAGTGTCCATGTACAGTTCACACCAGCTGCCCAGAGCTGCAGCTGCCCACATCATTAACAGTCAAACAGTCCCCACAGACACGTCCACAGGCCACTGACCAGATGGTCTCACACCATATCAAGTTGACAGTCAAAGCTGTCTAGAACAAATGCCATCTAAGGGATTAAGGGTGCAGTGTAGTGACTAGGAAAGCTATTCGTAGGTATCTATCATAGAAGATACTATTTTTAAAATATAAAAACTTCTTGTTAGAACAATAAATAAAGGGGCAACAACAATAAAAATGAGCCAAATAACATACAGTTTCCTACAAAGAATTAAAAATTTCCAAGATACAGAAGATACAAAGAAACAGAAAGCAATATTGTTTCATTAGTAATTAAAAATTAGAAAAACCCTCCCATTTTCTACTACAGCAGCCCTTGAAGAGCAGCCAGGTCTTTGTGCCAGGGTCTTACCAAGGCCGCAGGTGACTGAGCCCCTTGGCCAGGTGAGGTAGTCACTGTAGTGGACACCTCACCAAGCACAGTAGCAGGTGTTGCAGTGAGATCTGAGAGGTGCGGTGTGGCAGGGAACTACTCAAACTCCAAAGGCCGCCTTGAGTTCGTCAGTACATGGGTGAGCATGAGCATCCTCCAGGAGTCAAGCGGAGCCCAGCGGTCTCCTGGCTGTGAACAAAGTCGATACCAGAGAGGATTGAGTCCCTTCCCTTCCCTGTATGTAACAAAACCTTTGTAGAGGAAGGGGAAGGAAGAAGGATTGATTCAATCCCAGCTTCACCTTTGAATATGATAGTGTTTTTAAGAGGTAGACCATTAGGGACAAATATAGATAATAGTAATGTTAGTAAACATAATGGATGAAAATGATGGCGTGATGGATCCTACGGAGATCTTAGTCATGGTGGTCGGAAGAGGTGGAGGAAGAGGGAGCTCCGACAGTCTTCATCTCTGCTGTGATGTTGGCAGCTGGGGCTTTCAATTGTCCTCATAGTAGAAGGAAGCGAGAAACGAGGACAAATGCCAGTGCTTTGTAGTGAGAACTGTGACACTCATGACAGAAGCCATCGCTTCATGGAGATGGTCCAGAAAGAATAGGCGTAAAGAAGGAAAGATGTTTCTTGGTGAGATGTAGAGACTGGTATGGGGTTGAGCGCTCATGGACAAGGGAGACGGCACGTGTTGAAGCTGTCTTATCTGAGTGGTTGTGTCCCACCAAAACCCATACACTAGGACTAAACCCCATGTGGAACTCTGAGGAGGTGGGCCTTTTGAGGGTCGGTCGTCATGCCTGGGTCTAGTGCCCATGTGCAGCGTGTTAAAGGGAAGGACTGTGTCGCTGCCTCTGCCGTGCAAGCACACAGCAAGGAGATGCCATCTGTTCGGCACATGTTAGAATGTGATAGGTCGTGAGAGAAATTAATAGTCAGTTAAAGGTTCATTAATTTGTCAGTTGGCTTCTAAGAGTAGCTAGAAGCATGGTTTCCTGAAGAGCAGTAATCCTTTGTTCATACGTAACATTTCTTTTATTACATTTTATATACCTTTCTTTAACTCAGAAGATTTTGTTTCTACTGAGTTTCAAATTCCTTGAGGATATGGATCATATTTTGGACTGAATTTTTGTCATTTGGAATTATTCCACAGTACCAATCCACTCCCTTTTTTGTGGTAAGTGTGATGTCAGTCCTTGATGATAATGTGTTATACATTTATGCTAAGCACCCAGAAAGGACTTTTAAAAGAAATTGGTGCGCCTTTTCATACAGGCTAGGTTTAAATGTCTACTTAAAATGTCATTTCATTAACTTTTAAAATGCATGTTTTTGCCTCATAGATATGGGATGAATTGCCTTATTCAGTTCGAAGATTTTGCCAATCTGAATGCATTTCGTCTCCTGAACAAGTATCGAAACAAGTATTGCACATTTAATGATGATATTCAAGGTAATCACTTTTCACTGTGTATGAATCAAAAATAACATCTGGTAGTCTCCAGCTGATGAGAGAAATGCAATGACCAGTTTGAGCAAAGGCAGGAAGGGTGTACACAGGGAAGACGTCTAGAAAGATCATGTCACAAAGTGATCTAGCCGTGCAAGACACACAGGAACTCGGCATGCAGCTCTAGGCTCTTTGTTCCCTACCCCTCCATACACATCAGAAAAGGAGGGACAAGGTTAAAACCCGTATTTACACTCAGGTGACTGTTCTCAAACACTGAGAATATACTGAGGGACTGAAGTTGCAGATGGCAGTGATGTAGCCAGCAGGTTTGTGGAGTGAGGCATTGTAAGAGGGAGGGAGATGTTGAGCTGAGGAGGTGCATGTTAGGGATGCGACAGGTTACAGACAGTATACTGTTATTCAAATCAGAAACTTCCATATTTTCACAACTTTGGGAGGTCAGTAACTTTCAAAATTAATCTTTTGTTCTGAATGTATTGTAATCTCTGAAAAGTTGTCATAGGTGGTGAGAAGATATATGCTTTAAATCTCATCTGCACTTAACAATTTCTATAGTGAGATATAAATTCTTCAGTAATAAAGCAATAAATTAAAGCTTAAATAAACAGTATCACTGTACTATTTAATGAAATTATAGAATTATGTTCTTGTGCATTAAGGTATACATACAGAAGTCCAACAAGATAAACATATGAAAAATAATAACATCTGAAATTAGTTCACAGCTTTTTATTCAGATCCAGTAAATGTTAGATACCTGTTTAAAAAAAAAAACAGGATTTATGTTGGATTTTTTAGTCATAATTTCTGGTTCTCTTTCACACTTGAGAAAGCACCCTAGAATGTACCATATTACATATACACAAGCTCCCAGAAATGTTGAGAACATCTCCAGCTATTATGACCTAATAAAGGAAGTCTGTGAAGATGGACTGCACGTGGTTTAAGGATATAAATGTAATTCCCCGTAGCCCTTTTCAAAGCCTCACTCCAGGAAGTGCTATTTCTCCGGTTTTTGGGACAGGTTCTCACTCTGTACACACAGACCTCAGGCTCCCAGTGTCCCGTGGGCTGAGATCTGACGAGCCGCCAGCCTGGCACACGAATGGTCTGCTGAATCCTAACTGGTAGTTCAGGCGCATCCTTCGGCTGTGGGCCTGTGTCTAAGCCGTGTGTGCTTTTCTATTCAAGCTCTTGTTTTCTGACCCTCGCTGTGCTCCCTCCTGGCATCCAAGCCCTATATGAAAGCCTCAGGAACCCGTTTGATTCGGGTTAGGTAAAAGGACAAACAGGTAGAGGGTGTTACTTAGTTCTAGCAACTTGAAGGCCATGATGGCTTCCATCTCACTGCTGTGCTTGTTCTTCCGTTTTGTCTTGATGTCTCCATAGCGTTCGGCACTGTCATTGTCCCGTGTCCAGCTACTTGTCTGCTGTCACTGCACCTGCCGATTCCTCCCCACTGCTTTGGCTCTTCCCTCGTCCCTTTGGCTATCCCATGGTGGAGCACTTCAGGCCTTCCCTCCTTGCTGCAGTACTGTTCTCCTAGGCCCTGTTCCACATTCTCACATTCATCTTGCAGCCTTAGTTCTACGTTTAGGATTTCTTTGAACTCCAGGGTGGTATGTTCATCTGTTTATTAACAGCTCTTCTTGGATATCTCAGAGTTACCTCATTCGGAAACCATTCTAAAGCAAACCCATTTCCTCCCCAGCCCAACTTTCTTTCCCTATGGCCTCCTTCCCAGTAAATCATTTTGGTCAAGTGCTTCCTGTCACCAAGCCGCCCTGACGCCATATCATAGAAGTCAGTATCTTCCATTGATTTATCTGTTGCTGCTGGTCTAAGAAGTCCATCCTTGTGCATGCTTGCTTCCTCATCTTGCATAGTTCTTGGATAGTCACTTTACAGACGGCTACAGATTTTTTGGAATTGAGTATTTGGAGGGTTTCAGAAGGAAATCCCGAGTTTCCAGGTGCTGAGAAGTGTGAATGTGAGCCATAGAGAGGACGTCTGATGGGAAGGTGCTGCAGCCCTGACTCTAGGGTCCCCTGGATGATGATAGAGTCGCTTGATGCGCACACATGCTGCTCTTTGCGGTGCAGGCTGATGTCTGTAAGTCACTCATCGATTCACTTCGAGGCAGTCTCTATAGCAGCCTCCAATGAACGGGTGGGCAAGCCTTTTGAGGGCTGGGGGGCGTGTATCAGTGGTGGACACTTACCGAGCAGATACAATGCCCTGGGTTATCCCTAGCATTTCAAAAACAACATAGCAAACCCACATCCTCTTCTCCTATAATATTTTATACCTTCACGTTTTGTTTCTCACAGAATATGTGAAAGGATGTATAAGATATTAAGACCAACATTACATGATTGAGAACCATTATACAGAATTAATGGGAATCAGAGTTCAGTTTAAGAAGGTTAAATCAAGCAAAACAAATTTTTTATCTATCAGGACCAATAATTAAGGTTAGGGCCTGGGCCACATGAGAAGTAAAGTCTAGAAATTAATGCAGGAGTCAAGTCAAGGTCCAGAGAAGTGTGTGAGGCATGCTGAGGATGCTTGCCAGCGTGGAGGCAGTAAAACCACTGATTTCCGCCATAGCTGCCTGCCCTCACAAGGCTTGCTTATTTCCTCACAGGGATTTCAGAATAATACTGCCCTTAGGAGGGAAAACACAGGGTTGAGAAAAGTCATCTAATTCCTTGGTAGAGAACGCCCTCGGGGAGTCTTCCAGTTTTGACGGGAAATGAACAGCCACCCTGAGCATCTCTCCCTCTGAGAGTTGCATGCCTGTGACGGGTGTTCTCCCCCTATTTCTCTTTTATCTTTTGAACCCTCTGATTTTTCCCTTTATACCAAAGGATGTTGCCCATGAAAAGAGTTGTGCAGGTATTTCAGCCTGCACTGCAGATGAGTGCTTTGCATCCTCTCCTTGAAGGGACTGTTTTGTTTTCTTTTGAAACAGATGTGTTATTTAAAGACACTATTTTATGAAAATTATTTGATTAAAGAAAAACATAGCTAACTATACTAGCAATATAAAATAATCTTAAATGATCCTGGGTTTGCTTTAAAGTCATGTTGTGCTTTAGGCCATCTCCTCGGGGGAGTTTCCTGCCTTTGTAGCTGTCCTCTCACTCTGTTGCTTTCTGCTGGCAATTGCTTTCTGTTTGTATTCTCTCAGTTAAGAATGTGTGTGGTCCTCCATATCAACTAAATGAATTCCACTTAAGTTTTTTCAGTATAGCGTTATTTCCTGCCCTCCACTATGTCTGCTGCTTTTTAGTCGTATCCCTGTCCGTTTGTTTTGAGTCTGTTTTCTGTCCCTTTAGTGCCGTTTGTAGGAAGAGGAATGCTAGTGTGGTACATTCTGCCGTTTTCCACAGGGAGCCTCCCTGCCTTTGTCCTGCAGATGCTTCTGCTGCTCTGGGTCCTTCCTACCCAAGGCTGTGGGCATCTCCCATACCCCGAGCTGCGTTTCCAGCTGCATGCTCTAACCCTGAGCTCAGCCTATGTGAGCCCACCCTCTTCCTCAACAATCCTAGTGGCATCTGATATATTAATAGCACATATGGATTATAGTTATTTCATTACAAATTGTTCTTGTTAGTTATATAACATAATTTGTAGTTATAATTTGATTTAACAAATCACTGCACCAGTGTATCAGTAAAGGTCTGATTTTATTGTTGTTGTTTTTGAGACAGGCTGGCCTTGAGTTTTCCATCATCCAGCTATAAACTGAGATTATCATGCCAGCAGTTGAGGTCGTTCTTTGGTAAAAGATCAGAGAGATTTATAGCCACAGCAAATCTTCTGTGTGTATTAAAGACATATTACTTGCAAATTTATACCAGGATAGAACAGCTCTTATCCACAGTATTTGGTAGTAGGAGCATTGAATTTCATATTTTTCCTGATGTTAGAATATGTGTTTGCATATATATATAGAGAGAATGAGACATTTTGAGGCTGGGATCCAAATCTAAACACAAAGTTCCTTTGTGTTGAGAGTATACCATATGCACACAAGTCACAAGTGATGTCACACAGCATTTCAGCACTTGCGTTCTAGCTACTACTCAGATCACGTGTGAGATGTGTTGTCATGTCATGGCTCAGAGCACGCAGAGTTTGGGGACTGGAGGGATGGCTCAGCAGTTGGGAACATTGGATGTTCTTATAAAGGACCAGAGTTCAGATCCCAGCACCCACCCGGCCACTGCAACACCATCTTCTGGCCTCTGTCGGCACTCATACTCAGATGCAGACACATACACATGCATATTCGTACAATTTTTAAAGAATCATTAAAAATCTGAAGGTCTGAAAGAATGGGAATTTTATGACACACAGCCTATAGAACTTTGTAAAAAATTAAAGAAAGCCCGGCTCTTTAATATTGCGTTAGCAGTGTTTAGTCCTGTTTAACACCAGCAGTCTAAGGCAGGCCTTCCCTCTGTGTGACTGAAGTTTAATTTTAATATAAGAATTAAAACAATCATGTGATTTATTTTACAAACACATTTTTATAAAATTTTAATTTTCTGCACTTGCTTTTCTACAAAGAAATTTAAAGTAGACACAGGAATCATGTTCATGGGCTGGAGAGATGACTCAGTGGTTAAGAGCACTGGCTGCTTTTCCAGAGAATCCTGAGTTCAATTCCCAACGCCCACACTGTGGCTCACAACTATCTATAGTGAGATCTGATGCCCACTTCCCGCATAAAGGTGTATGTGCAGATAGAGCATTCATATACATCAAAAAATTAAAAAGATTAATCTTAAAAAAGTCAGGTTCACATTAAAGTTTTGGTAATGCTAAACTGTCTCTTTAATTTTACCATCTGATGCTATAAAGAAAAGACTAGACATTCTGTTATGTCACAAGGAAATGCTGTGGAATATACTTAAAATGACTTAGTATCCAGCACAGAGAGAGGAGGCTCGTGCTCCCTATTTAGCCATGTCTGCAATAAAGCATTTTAGTGGAGTGAGCTGGCATCACCACATGACAATGGCACATTATACTTAGACAGCACAACCTCTTGTGTCTGTCTCCACGTGTCCAATCCCATGAAAAACAAAGCATAAAACCGAATAACGCCAAGTAGTGATGCTGGTCATGTGCCAACACTGACTTTTCCGCTAGTTAAATCCTGTGACATTGGGACAGTCAGTAGGTGTCTTGGAATCCTATGATCCCAGAGTTGGAAGTGAGCTTACGATTCCTCACATCTAACTTTGGACTGGCTTTCGTCAGAAGAACCCAGGAAGAGATAGCCTAAGACGCTGCTTGTGAGTAATTAATACGGTAACTTGACATCTGTTCCTCCCTAATTTCATCTGTTAACAGTTCTCACAAGTATATCTTGGTGCATGGGACAGACATCATGGCATATTTCCTATATAAATCAGCCATATTTTGTACAGAATTTCTTCTGTTGTGGTTTTGGAGATTTAACTCGGGCCCTCTGTGCACTAGGCAAACATTCTGTGCTGAGTCACATCGTCAGGTCTTAGACTTCCATTTTAAATTATGCACAAAACAGTGGGTTTGCGCAATGTGTAACAGTTCGTGAACATTTCAGTGGTCGTACTTGCATCTACTCAGGTCTAGATTTTACCAAGTAAGGGTATTTTAAGTTTGGCCAGACTTTGCTGCTCCCTGGAGTGATATTGCAACAGTAGACTGTTTCCTTGGTGGTGTAAAATGTCATAAAGCTGGAAGGCATTGCAAAAAAAACCCTGCAGTTTTATTTCAGGAATCAAGCTGCGTAGTCATGTTAGCGCAAGAGCACCACTGCATATCTGTGTACGTGGTGAAGTCCCAGGATTAGAACGGTGCCATTTACATTCTTGTGTGTGATGAGAGCAACCGTACCCTACTGTACATGCATTCTCTTATCACCTAGGGTTCTGATAGGAGTTATAGGTAGAAAGACAATTAAAGAATATAATAAACAAGATTTCAATTGCCATTATTGGCTATTTTCAAATTTAAATATTAAATTCCAAATACATCTGAAACACCACTGCCACTACCCCTTCAGCAGCAAGCGCTTACTGTGCGCCTCCTTTATGTGGAGGGATCACCAGTGGATTTCAAAGCCCCAGGAATATTTAGGTGAAAAACTTCAATATTAATTACTCTTCTGTATCATACAACAAAATCATTTTACAAATGAGCAAAACAGATTACAAAGTAACATTTCTAAATTCTTCCAGATAGGGTGAACTGAATTCCACATCATATCCAAACTCAAACAATTATGGTGGCATATGCCTATAATCCTAGCATTTAGGAGGCTGGGGCAGAAAGATTGCAAGTTTGAGGCCGTCCTGGGCACACACAGAGTTTAACTTCTGCCAGGGCCACATGAGGCCCTACCTTAAAAGTCTAAAACCAGATTTGAAAACCAAATATAACCCAAGCCCATGCTGTTACCCACCATCCTGGGGTCCCCCTTTGGGAAGTTTTCAAGGATTTAAGCTGTGGTCCTAAAGTACTGATACCCTAGCCTAAGATTTCTGTCACATATGCCAGCATGGAGACAAACACGTAGGTCCCTGTGACCTCGTCATATGGTGATGTGAAGATGCGGATAGAAGCTTGGAATCCAGCAGGATCCATCTGAGGATTGCTCAAGGATATTTATCATTGTTTTAGGAACAGCGTCTGTTGCGGTTGCGGGTCTCCTTGCAGCTCTTCGAATAACCAAGAACAAGCTCTCTGATCAGACAGTGCTGTTCCAGGGAGCTGGAGAGGTACCTGCCTTGTGTACTGCTTACTGCGTCCCGACTGATAAGTGGCTAGCTTTAGCTTGGTACTTACTCAAGGACTTGTGCTCTCTTAGTGTTACAGTACAGTAGATGGAAGATTCTGCGAGCTTTAAGGCAACTTAGCCTACAGTAATCTTATAGGAGACTTTGGAAGTGTAAAACATTTTGACAGTTCAAATTCGTGAGATTATCAAATGTTACTTTGACTTTGTTATGCATGTTTAAGGCTTGATACCCAACGAAGTTACCAATGTGTGCTGTGTGCTACATATGAAAACCTCACTGAATTTTAGTATACCCATCCCCCACTGTCACAGTCAGAAGTGTTCACAGCCCCACACAGTCCAACCTGTACATATATAACTGTAATTGTTTTTTAAGAGAATCATTTTGAATTAAAGATACATAGTACATCAAAACTATTCAACATTATAACCAAGACATTTTTAAATAATTGGAAGAAATTGTGTAAGACCAAACTGCATAGTTACTTGAAGTCATTGACAATACTTATTTAAAAGAAGAAAGCTAATTTAATCTCCCAAACAGAATAAAATAATAATTTTCTTGTGAGAAAACTCTTAAATCTCTCTATAATTACACAATTCAAAATTGGAAATACTATGGCTAATCATTTTGAAAAAAATTAAACTTAATATGATTATAATCAAAACAACTTGTTACATGGGTAGGAATGTGTACATACTGTTTTCATTTTGCTTATTTTGAAATTAAATTTATGAGTTAGAGATACGTGAAAACATTCAGAATATAATCAGAGATTCACTTTCAAACTGAAATTACAGCCCAACCTACCTAATAGTCCTGATATGTTAGTTCTATTCTGGTAAGCCTCTCTGCATTTCTAGAAGTTTCTGGTGAATGACACAGCAGTGTTCCTGGTTGGATGACTTGTGGGCCCTGGTTTGTTCCTGAAAAGATGAGGTCTGTAGCATGTCACAGATTATCTAGACTTCACCAAATTCCAAATAAGATTTTTTTTTTAAATATTGGAAGACATTTTGCAGTGCTTCCTCTGCCTAAATTAAGAGAGCGAATAAATGCTGGGCAACACATATTTGCTTTCAGTCTTATGTTGCTGTCTAATTAAGATCCCATCCAAATGAGCTTGCTTCTTTTCCTCAAGTTCAGTTGAAGGAGCAGCTTCCTGACAGTAGGCCATGTGGTCCTGTGAGCCAGGCTGACAGTTGATTATGTTAAATGTAGTGTTTTCTTGTTGTGCTGGTCCTGACTATCTACAGTCAGACATACTGACAGTCAGGGGTCACTGGCTTATCTGTGCTGCTTAGCAAACTGTGCCATAGTGGTTGTGTTGTAATTAAGTGGAGTAAATAGTGGTCATTTTGCACACCCAATGTGACAAAAATGCTTAGCTCCTAGTGCGAGTTCATGACTAAAGCTCTGAAACTCAGTGGACCGAGGGCTGTTTTGCAGTTCTTCACTAATGGACACAATGAGGTGACGTGTTAACCTTGGCAAGACATGCAGAACAAGTTTTGAAGTCTTTATTTTTATACCTTCTTTTCAGGCTGCCTTGGGGATTGCTCACCTGATTGTTATGGCCATGGAGAAAGAAGGTTTATCGAAGGAGAAAGCTATAAAGAAGATCTGGTTGGTTGACTCAAAGGGGTTGATAGTTAAGGTAAGAAAGAGTCACTGTATGTGCCTGTCCTAATGACCGTTCAGCAGGCTGCTCAGTGTTTTCAGTGTCTCTTTAAGAAGCCGTTTTGGAAGATTAGCATTTATGGACTTGGGAGTTCAGTCAGTAAAGTGCCGACCATGCAAGAACAAGAACCTTAGTCCCCAAAACCTAAATTTCAAAGAGCTAAGCGCAGTGTCACAAGCTTGTAATCCCAGTGTGAGGAAGCCTGGGCTGGTGGACCCCTGAGCTTGTTGACCAGCTAGTGTAATCTGCTGGGTAAGTTCTAGGTCAGCGAGAGAACCTGTCTGAAGCAAAGAAATGGTAGATGGCGGACAACGAACTGTGCCTGAAGTTGTCCTTTGACCTCCACATATACCCTTATATACATGTGCGCCTGCACACCCAGACAGTATGCACATACACACACAGATAGACACAAAGACACACACACGCTAACAAACACAAATGATGGTGCCATTCAGGTGTACTGATCTACTCCTGGATGAAGAAGAAAACCGTCTCAGGAATGGCTTCCACTGGGAGTGAATCCTCACAGCCCTGGATCCTCAGTCTGCTGGGATCAGCTTAGCTTTCCTCTGAAGCAGTTGGCTGCAGACACAGATGAGACACCTACACAGCACACTTTGGGAAGAGCTCTCTGTCACACACAGCAAATTAGGAAGAAAGGAGAGAGTGAGGGAGCTGCCCACATACCTGCTGTTTGCCACAGTTGTTGAAGTTGAAGGGATCGTGAGAAGGACTTAGTAGATGGGCTGTTGGAACGAGCCCCAGTTTTTCTTTTATGTGACAGAGGGCCTCCTTTGTGCGGTCATTGTGAAAACCTAGTGGTGACACCTGGCTGCGGCATGACTTCTGCCACCTGGTGTGTCACTTACTCTTCATTAAACTACTATAAAATACACACAGATCCCCTTTTATGTGATGGGTGATACGCTGTGTTTTCTGCAGCACAGCGAGGAAATGACCTGAAAGTGACTTTCAGGAAAGTCATCCTCCAGGTATCCGGAGCTTTCGAAAGTTGATATTGCTGAACCGATTTGTTTCCATTCTTGAAAATCCGTCCTAAAATTAGTATGCTTATATTGTTATAGGTGTGAGGATATTATTAAGACAGTATTTGCAATAGTGATGTTTCATCATACATTAATTATAATGGTGATCTCTTATACTTCCAAAATGTAGTAGTCAAATAGATTACGGAACAGCTGCAATGTGACATGTATGTTTAAAACAAATGATTCAGCATATCAGATTAAAAAGAAAATGAATGTTTTTATAGTGCTTGATGTAAGTATATGATATCACAAGATACAGAAGACAAATATCATCTGTATTTAACTTTACAAGGTTATTACTACAGTTGTTATACTGGAGTCCAAGCCCAGGGCTTTGCACATCCTAGGCAAATGCTAGACCTCTGAACTATACCCCTTGCTCCTAAAGCTTACTTTGTTTGTAGGATTTTTAGTCCAGGTTCTTAGCAATTGTAATTCATAAAAGCTATGGAAAAATGTTTAAAATAGTCATACATTGACAAATTTTGCCTTATAGGAAGAGAAAGTATATGTAAAGCTATCAGCTTAAAGGTGTTGAATGTAACTTTCTTTTTGGAGATAGGATTTTTCTCTGTATCCCCAGATAACCCAAACCTCACTCTGTAGATCAGGCTGGCCTCAAACTCACAGAGATCTGCCTGCCCTGTTTCCCAAGTGCTGGGATTAAAGCTGTGCACCACCACTGTTTGGCAACGGCAAGTGTAGCCTTCTTTTTTTTTTAATATTTATTTATTTAATTTATTCGTTTATTTATTTATTATGTATACAATATTTTGTCTGTGTGTATGCCTGCTGGCCAGAAGAGGGCACCAGACTTCATTACAGATGGTTGTGAGCCACCATGTGGTTGCTGGGAATTGAACTCAGGACCTTTGGAAGAGCAGGCAATGCTCTTAACCTCTGAGCCATCTCTCCAGCCCAAGTGTAGCCTTCTTGACTTAAAGATTTGTTGCTTTCAAGAATCAGAATGACTGTAAACAGCGTATACTGTGGTCACATCACATGCACTGTAGTTCACTGCCTCAAATTTCCCACTGTCCAGGCATTGTTCTAGATTCTAGTAAGTCTGCAGTAAGGCACTTGATTTCAGGATGCTCACAGCATAAAGGGAAAATCACGTTAGCGGCTGCAGGACAGTGGGAAGATGCTGTTACAGAAGTGCTGCCATGGCGCCATCGTGCAGAGGGAGACACTCCTCCCTGCTGTAGAGAAGAGGAAAGGAAGACCAAGGCACCACAAAACATGGGCATTTCTAAAGCTTAGTTGAAGAGTTCCAAGTTACTGTAGAGTCTCCGCAGAGATCTGAAATTCATCCCAGTAAAGGAAACTAAGAGGAAGCATGGTGACAGTCATGGAGAGTCCTGACAGAGGTCTTCACACGTGTAACTAGTTCACACCTGACAGCAGTCTGCTGAGTGAACAGGGGAGGGCTGTGGAGGACTGGGCAGCTGCTAAAGAGTAAGTTCTGTGAGAGACTGGGTATAGAGTGGAAGGGAAGCGCATGAAGGAGACATGGCGCATGAGTCCTCAGAGGGTGAGCAGAAAGGCGGCCTTCTCAGTCCTGACTGCATTGTGTAGGACGGCCTGAAAGAAGGTACAGGGAGAAAGAGAAACAAGGCTGAAAGCTCTTGCAATAAGTTAGAAAATTTAACAGAGGTTGAGTAAGAGAAACTTGATTCTGTAGATGTTTAAAAGAAAAGTCTGGCATACCGAGGACTTAGGAAAGATGAAGGAGAGGTAAGGTGGAGGGGGGACTCTAGTTGGACTCCCAAGACTTCTAGGTATAAGGAGAATTAAGAAAAGGTAATTGGAGGGGGAAACCGTGAGAGGAAGTGACACAAAGCAAGCTCGGGATGCCTGTGGAGTCTGCAGTGGAAATGTCCCTTCAGCAGTTGGAGATCCAGGACTGACATTTCAGAGAAGATCTGAACTGGAGAGAGGAATGCAGGGACCATTTACACACATGCTAGATGCCACATAAAACAAGTCCTAGGAATGTATGACATTCAAGAACCCGCATAGTGGGAATCCATGACTTTAGTTTCCTGTGACATTTTAGTGTGAAAGCCACACAAGTATGCATAGCTGTCAGCATAATTTTAACATAGGTCTGTGGAGCTGAGGCTCTGGGTTCCATGGATCGCAGTACTCAGAATGACTGCAATTGATGGCTAGACCCAACCGGCAACTTTTACTTATGTCCTTTACCTGCCAAAATTAAAAGGTGCATATATTGTACTTGCTAAGATGAAATTGCTGTGAGATGATGCTCTTGTACCCTGTAAAGATTTGTTACTCCTATTAGTTTAATAAACACTGAAGGATACACGGGGCAACCAGACTATAGACTGAAGTTTTCTGTCCTGCCCAGTCCTGCAGCTGTTCAGTCCCAACAAAACACACAGAGGTCTACATTAATTGTAAACGGTTTGGCCTATTAGCTCAGGTTTGTTATTAATTATCTCTTACAATTAAGTTAACCCATAATTCTTGTCTATGTTAGCCATGTGGCTTGGTACCTTTTATCAGTGAGGCATTCTCATCTTGCTTCCTCTGTGTCTGGAAGCAACTGCAGACTGAGCCTTTCCTCTTCCCAGAATTCTCCTAGTCTGGTTGCCCCACCTGTACTTCTTGCCTGGCTACTGACCGATAAGCATTTTATTAAACCAATACAAGTGAAAAATCCTATATTTAGACTAGGAGAATTCTGGGAAGAAGAGAGGCAGAAACACAATTGCCAGCCAGAAGCAGGGGAAGCAAGATGAGAATGCTTCACTAAGAAAAGGTACCAAGCCACATGGCCAAATATAGGTAAGAATTATAGGTTAATTTAAGTTAAAAGAACTAGTTAGTAGTAAGCCTGAATAATAGGCCAAATAGTTGATAATATAAGCCTCTGTGTGTTTCTTTGGGACTGAATGGTTGCAGGACCCGGTGAAGCAAAAACTTCCATCTACATGGAATTATGTTTTAAAATGCCTTTGTACACTTAATAGCCTGTACACTGTTTAATATAAAAGAGACATACTAAGATTCAATTAATCAATACTTCATGCCATTAAATAGCTCAAAATCTTATACTGATTTTTGTTGGGAAACTAATAAATTGTAGACAAGCTAGAAAATTAGCTTAGTCTTGCTTTCAAATTTACGCAACTATTTTGTGTGCTGGTTTTCATCTTTAGTTTAGTCCTTACACAGCTCCTGAGAGTCAATAATAACTTTATTAGCTTATAGTGGGCTTGCTCATAATGTATTAAAAGAATCATAAAGTTTAAAGTAGAACATTTTCTTGGTGTTACTCCTTCACACTTTAAAGACTTACAAATCCTCATAGCTAAAAAGGCATGGCAACTTGTCTTTGAGTGTTAACATAATTAGACTTAGTTTTTATTGTAGCATGCTTTCTATTTATATTTTTAATGTCATGGCTGTAACCCTTCCTACCACTTGCCTATGGCCATATGTGCAATAGGAGTTTGTGCTATAGATTGTCAGTAATATAATGTGATATAATATAATAATATAATACATTAGACTAGTATAGTTGGCATCAACTATTTGGTTACTGATGGTACCTTACTATAGTATTATTTAGCAAGAAATAATCGGTGTCAATTTAGTCACTTAAGGCGAGTACTTGCTAAAAATACATATAAAATTCTTCTCAAATGAAAACGAGAGAGAACAATGGGAGGGACGGATTGCCAGCTGAGTAGTCTCAAAGTGACGCCTGCCGAGTATTGTCAGGACAGGAAGCCACAGCACAGACAGGGCCATACTCAGCCTCTTGTTTCAGTGGCTTTCACTAATAAGTCAACGCACGCTTAGAGAGAGCCCTGCATGAACATACGTCCATGTAGCAGAGACTGGGTCTGGAGGTGATTTTTGACTACAGTTTTATTTTCTTCTGTTCTAAGTAAT